GTCAGGTTCGGGATGACTGACGGTATCTAAATCAGGGATTAAAACGAGAGTTTCACGTGGTCTAACTACGTAAATTAAGTCTGTAATTTTTTTTTGAAGAGGCCCCCTCGAACGGGGGTCTGGGGGATCTCCTCCACTCCAGGTGGTGGACGGGTGTTGGGGGGACAATTTAACAGATGGTGTAATTCCTACGGAAGGATGCGGGGTACAAAATAAGGTACACAAGTTCAGTCCGTTTAATCAGTTTTACAATACCGTAGTTACTAGACAATTGTAATTTTAGTTGATTTATATACGGCATTGATAAAACGAGAATCCGTTGAGGTTCCGATTCATTACACTAATGATATACTTATTACACAGGTTTTATTGTATTTTACGTATCCCAAAAACAATTCATTGTATGAAAGCAGCGCGGTCGCCTATGTAACGGCGCGTAATTCAACCGGACAGACAGTTAATTAGGGGGCCCGGTGAAAAAGGCCGGGTCAGGCGGGGACTGACCATTGTCAAAGTCGATTTGTATACATATGGTCATAAAGTGTATGACAATAAAAAACGACGTCAAAGTCAAAACGTATACGAATTTCTTAAAATTGTCAGTTATAAACCTACATCTTTTACTTTCTTTGAATATAAAAATACAAAAACCTAAAATTGGAAAAAAAAATATTACAAAAATAAAACATACAGGTCCCAGACCTTTTGGGTGACCACCACTGCCGTCTGCCTACCTCCAGAGTGACGAAGAGCCAGGAACCCCTCCTTTGACGCCAAGGAGGTCGACCATACCTTGTCCGGAACTTTTGTCTTTCTAGTGTTACACTTTTAGCAGGTCTGTTTTGTTGTGATATTAGGAATGACACCTATTTGTATTCTAAACACTTATTACAGTATGTTTTTGTCTAGGAGTAAATAGTACGAGACCACTACCGTATATTACATATCCTACCCACTGTGTATGGAGTCCGTCCTGACTGCGTCACTTAACTTATAGTAAAACTTACTAGGTCACTGCCGCAAAGTATTTATAGTTTCCTCTTACGCGAGAGATGCGAGACAGCGTAAGGTCCCATAAATTATAGAAAAAAAATCAGATGACCCGCATTATGTCAGGTTTACCACTATCTGTGTGTATTTACCCCAAAAATATGAATTAACGGTGGCAGACACCCATGGCAGGTGAGACCCTCTCACTAGGGAGGAACAACAACGCAAGAGAGAGAGAGGGACCTCGCGATAAAGAGGGTAAAAAGCGTTGGAAATTTTGACCCGTCCAATAAATGAGACCTTCCAAAAATGGAAAAACGGTATCGAGCTACATACTCTAAACTTATCCAGATTCCTGTCCTCCAAGGTGTACAGCCTCAACACACAGATAGAGTGAATAGATAAGTACATGTCTTGGACCACCGACGTACCACATCGAGGGTGAAGATCGCCGCGTCGCCGGTTCAAGTCCCCGACCAGACCTACATTTGGAGTGTGGACTTCTACTTGGAGAGGTCCCAGTTCACCTCCTGCCCTGCCGTGGTGCCCTTGAGAAAGGCACCGGACATCCCCCTTAATTACCACCCTAAATTATTGTGATATGTAAATGAGACAAAGAAAGTTTTACGTTAGCTTCAAAATCATAGATCTATGCCAGTGAATTGAAGATCACAACGGATATTGAAAGATGTCTAATCATATTTATATCATGTTTTTGTCATGTTTCATGTCTTGAATGAATTTGTCCCAGGGTGGTTGAAGAGTTAAGGATTGAATATTGGTACCTTCACAAATCTTCATTAATCATCAGAAATGATGTGCGTCAATTCAGAAAATTATATCTCAAACCAAAATATAGTCTCCTATCACAATATTGATGTAAAACTAATATATTCTTCAGCTTTAATGTAAAACATTTTGTACATTATCCAGTTATAAGTTAAAGATCTGACCGTAAGAGGCTCCGAGCATCATCACCAACAGTCCGATCACAGCCTGCATGTCTCCTCAGTGTTCAGCCTCTGGGGACCCAGTCTGCAGCTCACACTAAACTCTAAACTTTATACTACAGCAAACGTGCACATACTACACAGAGCAGCCTGACATGTCTTCTGATAGTGGTCAGATTCAGATTAAAAGCATCTTACTTCCTCATTTATGTTGATAACATTCTACCGTTATAGCCTAAAATAAATACCAGAAGTAAGGCAAAGGTTTCTGTAATTCTGGGAGATAATAAAAGATTGTACACTAAACGATACCATGGCAGGAAATTGTGTCATTGCTCTAAAGGAAGTGAAACAAAGCGTCACACGAAACACTGACCACTAAGACCTGCACTTTGGTTCTATTATTTTGTCCATTATGTTCTGCCTTTTCCTCAACATTTGAGAGAATATAAATAAGTTATGATTGAAACAGTACCACAGGGTGTATATACAGAGTGTAAAATCTCAATAATGAATAAGAAATTAGAGAACACTACAATCCTTGACATAAAGTTTTACTGTGACAATAACTTTCAACTTTATCACACCATTTCTAAATCCAAAGAATAAAATGGTCTACTTTTGTATCAGAAAACAACTAAGTCCCTCTCACTGAATCAGCTGGTCCTTAGACAAGACATAAAGTGAGTGAAACCAAACTCGGCCTGTCGTCAAACATGATTCAACTAATACCAACAATACCTTTTAAATGAACTACTTTAGCCATCTACTTTAGTGTGGTCTTTAAACGATTTGATTTATTTAACTTTCAGTAAAAGGACTCATGATGTAAGTGATGCTTTAAGGCTTGTTTATATCAATAAAAGTACAATTACTGTTAATAACTTGCAACTTAATTCAAATGTACAGCATTTAATTTACAGCAGCATCCTCTCATTATGTAATACATTAACTCATTCAAACGAGTATTAAATACATATTTTTTGTAATTGTAAATCAATGTTTATTTTTATTTTTTTATCAGAGCTACAGTGCAAACATTCAACTTTCATATTATGTACCAAGAGTTTGCCATGAGGGAAGGGCAGCAAAATAAACGGACAATGATATTGAAACATTTTTTAAAAGGATGAAAACAAAACCTGGTACTTAAACTGGATAGATGGTCTCACATAATTCTGCAAGGCAACAACATGTACAAAGAGATTTTCCAGCACCCAAGTCATGCAAAGTAGGGTTCAATCTTAGGGTCCTCACTTGTCCAGTGTTGATCTTCAGTTAATTTTAAACCAAAAGCCTTTTTTGTCCTTTTTTTACCTGAGGAAGGAAAAAAGACAGAATAATAACTTTCTTGTAGTTAAGATGGCTGAAAATTAAATACTCTCAAACTGAATCTGTTCCTCTTTTTTGATAAAAAAGAGGCAGAGGAGGGAGAAGTACTCAGATCTGAGCAGAAGTACCAGAGAGTAGGAATATTCTGCTACAAGTAAAAGTCCTAAATTCAAAATGTTACTCAAGTAAAAGTATTAAAGTATTGCTATCAAAATATACTTAAATACCCAAAGTAAAAGTACTTATTATGCAGATTGATTGTAATTATTGATGCATTAAAGTGTTATCAAAGCTGGTAAAGCCGCAGCTAATTTTTTTTTTTTCTTTGTGCAGGGTAGCTTGTGAATTTACTCAAGGTGTTACTAAAGTCTTATTTAAGAGTTGATTCTATTCCACATCACTAATCCAAATCTGCAAAGTAACTAAATAAATGTAAACTACTACACCTGTGACTCCTGTGAGTGAATGTAGTGGAGTAAAAGTACGAAGTAGCATAAAATGGAAATACTCAAGTAAAGTACAAGTATCTCAAAATGGTACTTAAGTACAGTACTTGAGTAAATGTATTTAGTTACTTCCCACCTCTGCAAACAGGTGAGTCTTACCTGACTTCTTACCGCGCCTCATTTTCCAGCAGGCGCAGCAACACACCCCCACTATCAGTAGAGCCCCGACTGTACAGCAGACTATGATCACGATGTGCAAAATGCTTTCTGGGGAGAAACAAACCACATCAATAATTATCCAAACCCACAAACTTTAAAGCATTCACATGTTTGCATGTGTTGGTTGGTAGTTAGTGAAACTCTATTTTGACCAAAATTCATGATAGACTCAAAATGAGAACAAGTAAAGTTGACAAATACTGAAAGTTCCCTTTGAAGCACAGCCAGTTCCTGTTGTTGTCACGGCACCTTTCATCAGCCCCCAAAGTATATTATTGAAATGAATAAATAAGTTCTAACTAAATGGAAAGCTTACCTTCAAGCAGTGGCGGCGCCAGAGTATTTTTGTTGGGAATCTATGGTAGGGCTAACCCATACAGTGGTGGGGCTCAAGTCAGTATTTGCAATGTAATTACATACACGCTCCCCTTGACAGTGAAACGCCACGCGTGAGGTTTGGATTATTTCCCTGTCTCAATCCAAATTGAACTGTATGAAATAAAAAGGCACATTTGTCTTGTAGTAAATAAAAAGGGCGACCTGGAGCCAATCCCGCAATGTCCCCACAGGTGAAAGAGTTGACATGCTGAAAACCCAACCCCTGCAGGGGGGTCTGTTTTTTGTTACTTTGTTCTGAAAGCTGAACCTGCTGCTCCTCACAGAGAGAAGAGGGAGAGGCTGTGAATGACTTTACTTTGTGGATAAGGGTGGACAGCCCCCATTGTTCTGTGTGTCAAAATGAGAGACAGCCCACACACCTATCACTCATCAAACCGTGGGGTCTTATTTCATTACGTGTTGATTTCTATCAACACGTAATGTTGTATCGATGTATAGAGATGTACTACAGCAAAAGTATTCTCCGTCGGGACTTCCTGCAACAACACCACGCCGTTATCTTGATTCTGATTGGCCAGAAGACATGTGTGTTCAGGTCTACATGTGTGTGTTCAGGTCTACGTGTGTGTGTTCAGGTCTACGTGTGTGTGTTCAGGTCTACATGTGTGTTTTCAGGTCTACATGTGTGTGTTCAGGTCTACATGTGTGTGTACAGGTCTACATGTGTGTGTACAGGTCTACATGTGTGTGTACAGGTNCTTAAAGATGATGAGAGACGACCTGAGTTACACTTCAGATGCCTTACATCTCAACCATCACAACAGACTCATCTTGATGTTCCCTCTCTGGACGGTAAGCAGAAGCTTACCGTCCAGAGAGGGAACATCAAGATGAGTCTGTTGTGATGGTTGAGATGTAAGGCATCTGAAGTGTAACTCAGGTCGTCTCTCATCATCTTTAAGCATGTGAGGAAAGGGAGTGGAAATAATCTGCGGTTTTTATTCCAAAATTACTTAAATGTGTTCACAGTTGAGCAGCTCACTATGAGTTGTTATTATTTGAAGTCTGTGAGTGTTGTTTTGCATTTGTATCACTACTCTCACAGAACAAAGTTAATGGATTGTTCCTACAGTTAATGTGATCACAAGTCGAGATGTCTGAATTGTTTCACTCTTTTTGAATCATGTTCATTTTCATTTATATAATTAAAGTTTTAAGCTCAGATTGAATCATGTGCATAATAGTTTGTTGTTTTTCTCATGTGATTATATTTGTTGCTTGCTTGTTTGCAATACGTTCTATTGTAAAGTATTTTTCCTTTTTATAGTTGTTACATATCCAATCTAGTGGTGATATTTTATAAAGTTAAATATTGCTTTCATGTGGAAATAAAGTAAGTAAGTAAGGTTAATTAAGGTCTTTAAGTGGTTTTGACTATTTGCATCGCTGTGGGACTTCTATTTCAACAAACATTATGTATTCTATCTAAAGGTAATCTAGATGTTTCGGCTCCACAATGTTAACATTTTTTAATTTAGGTAACCTTTCATTTTGTTGTTTTCATTTTCATCCCCTTCTCTAGATTTCCCCCTACTGACTAACAGAGGTGTTACTGCTGTTCGTGGATTATTCTGTAAAATCTCTGTTCCCAACATGTTAACATTTCAGGAAAAAATGATGATCAATAAAATATAACCATATGGTGTTACTGCCTTAATAGGCTACTACTACCAGTCTGCATAATGAGGTTAAAATATAAACATATATGTGTATTATTACAAGTGCAATGTCATAAGTCTACAGGCTCAAGTCTTTACAAGGCAAATGCCCTGAACTGAGAAACCATGTAAAGTTTACATGGTGTCTCAGTTCAGGGCATTTGCCTTGTATCAATAGTTGCCAATGGAGGGCGAATTATTTTAAAGAGTGAGATAAGTTAAAATAACTGAACGTTGAATCATCTACTTCATCAGTAACATCATTAGTGCTTTGACTGAAAGTTAAATAAATAAAATCATTTAATGACCACAAGAAAGTAGATGGCTAAAGTAGTTGATTTAAAAGGTTTTTTTGGTATTAGTTTAATCATGTTTGACATCTGCAGGCTGAGTTTGGTTTCACTCACTTTATGTCTTGTCTAAGGACCAGTTGTTTCATGGTAGTTGGAGGGACTTAATAGTTGTTTTCTGATACAAATGTAAACCATTTTATTATTTGGATATAGAAATAGTGTGAGGAAGTTGACAGTTATGGTCACAGTAAAACTGTATGTCAAGGATTGTAGTGTTATCTAATTTCTCATTCATTATTAAAAGTGGAAAGATGTTACACTC